AGCTTGGAATACGGTCCAAAAAAGCATGTCAACAGTCTTTGAATAGGGTCTCTAGGTAGCTATTTCAATAGGTGACAGACAGACACACTATCAGGAACTTATCAAAGGTTGCGTTGTCTCTTGCGTGGTGCAAGGACTTCATGTGGGGTCACTTGGCTGCGTCCAAGCTGTCGCCGGACCGTTGGAAGCGAAAGACAGGGGCAGGAGCTGGCTGGGGGGGGGAATTGTTCCCTAACATACGGCTCTGTCTGTTTCTGACTTCGTTGATTCACTTTTGCTGCTGCGCACAACTTGCCCAAATAGCACAAGTCTCCAAACCTCACGAACCCGGTCCCAGCGACATCAATGCTGCTACGAAGTCCACGTATGGCCGGGAGGATGGCGACCAAGACTTGAGAGGATGCGTCGGGCAGGGCACCTTCATCGGTTCCGTTTTTGGGAGACTGCCTTTTGGGAACGTAGTGCTGCACAGCTCTCCGAGAACGCCTGCCAGCTGCAGAGTGGCAGCGGCTTGTGCAGCACAGCACCTGAGGCTGTAGTCCTAGAAGTTGCTCTGCACGCAACTGGGAACCCAAACGTGGCCAGTGCTGCCACGCTGCGTAATCAATAGGAGGAGAGAAGCCAGAAGCACACGGCTGTAAGGTGGCATCACCTGATATCCACTACAGTACTTGAGTTTGGGGAGCACGTACCGTCACTTCAATTCGACACAGCTGACAATTGAAGTCCATGATACATACATACATACATACATACATACATACATACATACATATATATATATGTATTTATTTATTTTTATATATGTGTCTGGGTATCGCAGCTTCTCACTTGCTAAGAAAATCTACCGAAGAAGTGTCAGATCCTGCTTAGGGTTGGCCTTCAAAGACACAGCTTTCTTGCGCCTTTTGCTACGAACTGGCCGAAAACCTGGCAGCTCCTGCGATGATCTCTTGTGACATTTGGTTGGTGCAATCAGTTCTGGCGGGAGAAATTGCGGATTGGCCCGCAATCATCCTAAATCCAAACTGGCACCCCCTGAGCCCTAAATCCACACTGATTCCGGGAACCCATGGCTGCTGCCAGGATGCCGAGCGACAATTTTGCAATCTGCGTTACTACGTGGAGCTGTTGAGATCAAGCAAGCTGCGGAGATTGCACAGGTTTAGGGTTTTTAGGGTTTATGCATGCAGTCATCAGACACTTCGGACGAAAGTTCGGGCGAAGCATATATCTGCAATTAGCAGAGAGCACTCGAAAAGATCACATCTAGGCCTGGTTTTTATGGTTTAGGGTTTTCGGTTTGGGGCTTAGGGCTGTTACATGCTGCAACTTCCAAGTCAGATTGAAAGCAGGCGGGGTTGTCTTGGGCTGGTGCCCATCAGACCAGCCAGCATCACCTGAGCACCGCAAAACCCTAGAACCTAGTCTTAAATCCCAAAAACCCTAGACCCTAAACCTAAACCCTAAACCGAAGTTCTACCGTGATGTCGATTCGCTTCGAGGGCAACTGTGACACTGAACTTGGGAAGCGGTGCGTAGCAGTCCAAAGGAGAATGGGCTTGGGGTCTAGAGGGTTAAGGGGTGACCGATGCAGTTGAAAGCGTCGCGCAATTTGAAACCCCCGGATGCAAGAAATGAACTATTGACTTATCAAATGCCTCACTTCCCACCAACGAGAGCGACAGACAGCAAACCGCAACCACTGCAAGCTCCCAAGAATCAAGCTCCCACAGCAAGTTCTACCTGCTGCCGAAACACGGGCATACCCCACCTTGATGCCTCCAGCATCTGCATGGTCCTCAGATGCAGGAAAATGCAGGAAAGCGAGAACAAGCTTGAGGCCAGTAGAATCAGAAGCCATTCGGGACTCCGGCGCTAAGTCGGCCATGCCAACCACCTGCTCCAAGGCACACTCCAGATGAATCTGCACACAGCCATGAAGAGAATGAATGCGTGTGAAGGGTATGGTACTGACCTGTGGCTGCATCACATATGGGTAGCCACTGGACCTCGGTGCGCTGCAGCTCCGTCGACTGAGTCAGGAGTTGCGATGCATCAAGCTTGTGGCATCTCTGGCGAACGCATTGCTTGAAGTTTATTCTGGCGAAGAGGCCGTTGCCATCTCGGTCGCGACTCTGTTGCTACTCAGCTACAGATTCCAGCGAGCACCAGTTGGTTCAGGATGTCTTGCTTCTCCAGGAAGCTGCCGGGCTGTGGTAACCTGTGTATGTGCAAGCAGAGCCTGAGCTCTTTTGCATTCATCTGCCGTGCCTCCTCCTGTGAAGGTCCAAGGCAGCGGAGAATCCTATATCGCGACCGCAAGGACTTCAACCGTTCCTTCACATACGCGATGTCCTCCTTCACCTCCTGGCGCTCCTTCCTCAGTTCCTGCAGCAGTCGCAGCTCCTGCCCCTGAAGGTCGGATTCTTCTGTGCACCTGAGCAAGTCGGCATACACTTGGCAGGCTTTCTGGCAAAAGGGCTGCGACTCCGCCGGTCGGCTCAGAGCTTCCATGGCAGATTGTATCTCGACGTCCAGCTTATCGATTTTCTGCACCAGCTCGTGGCACTTCCTTGCGTAGGAGGGCGGGGGCGATGATGCCCAGGACCGAAGCTTGCACACCAGCCGCACCTAAACGGATGCCACATGCATAACTTCATAACTCGTTCATAGTACAGTATGGGGCGAGGTGTCCTTATAAAGGGGATTTTGCCATATTTGGGGTTCATATGTGCCCGTGTTGCAGGTTCTCGCCAATCCCGCCCACCCACCCACCCCCCAACCCCTGACCATCAAGCCTCAGCACACCACGAAGGGAGAAGGAAACCTCTACACCCCTAAACCCAAAAACCTGAACCCACCACCTACCACAGGGCTGGAGAGGGACCGAAACCTTGGCCCTGGACTCTGATTAACCACAAGGGGCAAGGGGAAAAATCCAAACCTACAACCCTAAACCCCTGAACAGCCACCATGAACTACGGGGGGGCAAAGTCAATTCCCTACAGCCTATACAGTCTGACCCTAAACCCTAAAAGCACCATAGAGATGAATTGGGTAAACCATCAACAAGAAACCGAAACCCCAAAACCCACCAGGAAACACAAGGGGGTTTCCATGGGGGGTGGGGGAGTGAAAAATGCTGAAGCATATAAGTGGCACCCCTATTTTGGGAAATGGCAATGGTAGGGCCGTTCCCGGCCCGGCACGAGCCACTCGAGTTCCCAGCGCCCCACATTCACATCAAAATCAACTGCTTGCTCATGCGTGAGATGTCCTTGGAGCAGAGCGCTCCACATCGGCTTGCAATGATGCAGTTGCTGAACTAAGGGTATCGTCGTTGCGGGGTTTTGCTGGGAATTCTCATGTTCAACAACCGCCCTTTATGTGCGAAGACACACTAGTTCTGACCGGCGGCACACAAACACACACACACACACACACACAATTCAAGTCTGCGAAGCACGCGAACTCCCTTCTCGCCTTTCAGTGGACGTTTCATACGTTTCAGAACCCTCGGCCGCACCTCTTCAAGATCAGGCAGGCGCGGAACGACGGAAAAGAGATAAGCATCCTGCGCCAGGACAGAGCTTCCAAAGTGTCTTCCACTCGACTCGAACAGAAAACCGATGCCTAGCAAAAGAGCACAAGCATGTCAAGCAATGTCAAGCATAGGGCGTAGCAAAGATTTGCAAACGCAGCAAGCTCCGTTGCCTCGTCGACCGCAATGGCTTGCTTGGTGAGCCTGGACAGCCATTCCAGTTCTGCCAGCAGCTTTGCGGCCCCACAGAACAAGTCATCCACGATGGCCGCAGGATCGATGCCAACGCTCGATGGCGTTGCCGATGAGGCGAGGCACAGCGCAGCTGAAGCCGCCTCGGGTGGGTCCAGCAGCAAGGCGACCCTCCGGATCAGCTTCCTTCTCCGGCATCGATCTTCCCCATGCAACTCCAAGTTGTCGGCCGCTTGTAGAATCTTGGTGCCTTCGTCCTCAGCTGCAAGCTTGGAGGTCCGTTGCGTCGTGAACTCCTCCTCTAGGGTAGCTAGCCTCCTCTCCAATGCCACGAGCTTTTTGCTCTCATCGCTTGCGGCCATGACCACAGCTGCCACGTTGAGCAAGAAGGCTCTTGCTCGGCATGCACCGGCATGTACTTCTCATATCTCTGTTGACACAAGACATCCTAAGCCTTACGGCCTTAGGGCCTTAGGAGCGACTTCCGAAGCAAGCCTGGCATTTTCTGAGTTTCGGCTGACAGCAAACTGTTTGGCAACGCGGATTAAGCCGATGTTGTTGACAACCCAACCTGCCCTTGAAATAAAAGCCTGACAGGCTAGGCTGAGCGGAGCCAGCGCAGCTGACCGGAAAGCTGCGAGCGAGCAATGACTGAGGCAAAAAGAGGAAGCAAGTAATTCAATAGCTTCTGCAGAACAAGCATGGCCAAACTTCAGAACGTGTGAGCTCTCTCAGGCCGCATCTCTGGATGAAACTCCTGGACGACTGCACAGCAAGTCCAAGAGCAAGAGCCAGCCCTACATTCCCTACATTCTCTACATTCCCTACCTTCGCTGGAAACATGACAGAGTGCATCAGATAGCTGGCAGCCGACCTGTGCAGAGGGGTCCATCGTAGTCATCCTGACTTCGGCGAGGCCTTTGCACCTTGCATTGAGATCTGGTAGCTGCTAAGGGTCATAGGTCATAGGTATGCTCGCGTCGCTTCACCCCTGAACGAACGTCAAGAAGTCGTACATGCTACTACCCTGCACTCGCACAAACCATCTCAGAAAGCCGCTGCAAGCCGTGATCTAGGCTCAAAGCAGGTTGCAGGGGATATCTCTCGCCCCAAACTAACAAAATCTTGCAAAGCAATGTGAACTGAGCCAAGAAGACGCAGGCACACGTGCAAGCATCCGAGCTGGACACAAAACTCTCAACGGTCGGGATCATCCATCACTGACTCGTCATCCAACATGCAGCACACATGGGGGAGGGCTGGCATCTCTCGTTGAGGCCGTAATCTTGCGGAAGGAAAGGTTCAGGAAGGGCACCTGGCGACTGGCTGCGTTTCCATGTCAATGTGCCGGTGCCTCCCCTGTTGCAATCCGCTGAGCTCAGTTTTCAGTAAGTCTTCCACCCCATAGCCAGATTGGTACTCCTTGGACAACTCCTTGAACTCTTCCGTGTCCTCAGACCTGGGATGCCCAGGACCAGCAGATCTTGCAGGCCTGTGAGGTGCGCAAGGCCCCCCTGCGTTGTCATCATTTCGTAGGCCATGCTTCCCATAGACATACCTATTTGCGCCCAGGTCAAAGGCTGTTCTCACGGTTCCAAGGTTGTACTCTGCAGAGTCTACTGAATCTGGACCATGTACTGGCTCTACTGAGACTCTGCGGATTCTACTGAACCTGTGTCGCTTGGCAAGCCGGGGCCTTCGATTCCTTTGCGGTACTCCCACCTGGGCGGGGTGTCTCAAGCCTGCACCAGCAGATCCAAACAGCGCCTTTAAGGCCAGCAACCCTTTCTGCTCTCGTGGACCGCGCGAAGTAGCGACCTGGTATATGGCCGCTTATGACAAGCTACTGGCCGACTTGCTGAGTCGGAGGCAACAAGCTGAGCTTCAGGCATCAACAAATGTTTCCCACAAGGCGCCGGAGAACCGAGCGAAGAATGTCCAACCTCAGCAAACACAAGCATTGAACCCTGCCTCAGCCGTGCTAAAGCCACATGTGCAGCTTCAGGGCCCCACCATCAATCTCAGCCTCCCTCTTCTCCACCACAGGAGCAACCTTGGTGTACCTCAGAGAAGGTTCGGACTGCACACGTAAATACATGTCAGCCGACCCCGAAGCGGGGGCGGCGTCAGTGAAGACCCATTTTCCCTCCACCCCGCCCTCCCCGCCCTCCCCGCCCTCTCCGTTCTCCCTTCCCATGCTCTTAGTGCTTCGTCTATAGGGCCGCCCAATCCGCCCACCACCCCAACTCCCCTGCCCCAGCCTGCTCCTAATCTGAAATGAAGTGTTTTGTGAGGGCTAAGGCATTTCTGGACCTGCATGCCCGCCGATCTCAAACCTATGTTGCCCGAGCCGGCTCACAGCCTGTAATCTTTAGCTTGAAATGAAGCTTGAGATGAATTCTAAGCGCTCCAGTGCATGCCCACGCCCCCACCGGCATCAGCAGCATCAGCGGGACCCTTGGGGGGAAGGGGGGGAGGGTGGGGGGCTGAGGGCCGCGGCAGGGCCTTGTACAACGCAGCCTGGGAAGCTTTGCCACATGCAGAACGGCTCCCGGGCCTCGCGTGCGCGCGCGCGCGCGCCGAAATATCAGCATGCGCACGTATGCAAGTGAGGAGCAAACGAAAAGGGAGCAGTTCAAGCCTACAGTCCGTCCTCTCCAGTGCCTCCTGTGCTCTTGTTGCTGTTGTTGCTGTTCTTCTCTTGTTGTTGTTGTTCTTGTTGTTGCTTTTGCTCTTGCTGTTGCTCTTGCTGTTGCTCTTGCTGTTGCTCTTGCTGTTGCTCTCGCTGTTGCTCTTGCTGCTATTGTTGCTGCTGTTGCTGCTGCTGGTGTTGCTGCTGTTGCTGTTGCTCCCCGGGTCGGCACGGGGCGTGCCCGGCTGTGGGCGACAGCCCCTTTAGATTAAACATGGCGGAACCCTCCGTGAGCCCGCGGACGACCACATCTTAGACACCGGCGAGGAGGATGCGACGGACGGCATAGGCTGCTGCTCTTTGAGCTCCTACAAAGTGATATGATGTGGCAGTGAGCTACAGTAACTACAAGAAGTACAAGTCCCGTTCAGGCCTTTGGAGCTTGGTCTTTCTCAACCTTGTCCAGCAACTGACCCTTGCACATCACAAGGCTCGCGGAAGCGCGACTGGCTCTTCTCTGCCTCAAGCTAAGCTTCAACCACTGCACTACCACTGCTCACGCTGTCAACACAAGTTCATCGTGCCTCGTTCGCCGAACAGCGAGGAGGATCCCACCAGTTGCAGAAACAGCCAAGACGTGTGCGCCCTTACTTTCACTTCTCTCGGAATTTGAGTTGGTCGAGGAGGAGACGGGCACATTGCACTGCACTTGCTCAGGCGCATGCTCCAAGACCAGACGCTGGCACAGCCGACGCAGATCGGGGCGCATGCTGCGCCTGCACGCTCCACCCAATCTACACACGGGCGACTGAGCTCAGTTAACCCTGCGGCATGCACCATCACTACATGATCCTCTTCGGATCGTCCATCTGAACGTTCCCAACATGCCTTCAAAGGCGTCGTCTGGCTTACCGCGCTGACAAATCCCAGCGCAGCCATGCTGGGCAAATGCTCTTGATTGGTAACCGTGTCAACTCGAAAAGTCGGTTCCCAAATCAGCAGCTGGTAGCTAGCAAGCTGGGTTTCAAATCGGCAGTTCGGGCTGAAACTCATTTCATATGGCTGGCTGCAACGCAGAACTAAGCTGCTAGGTATGTCACAGGACCGTGTGCCACCATGCTACACCTGCTGAACTTGTCAGGATGTGAGCGGGAGAACCAATCCCAACATGTCGGCGACAACTTGAAAGTACCTGTCGAAAAAGCACACGAGGAGATAGATGCCCCTTGTTTTGCTTCTGCACGGCACCCCGCAGCTTGTTTCACCGCAGGACCTCAGATGGTGCAACTGCCATATTCTTCATGGTGCTCTTCATATCGAAGACCCAGCTACAGCAAGGAAGCAGGTCACGCCACTGGCCACAAGGCTCACCTGGCCCTCATCGGAATGCATCCAAGCTTCCTTCGCCCATCTACGCAAAAAACGATGCAGGCAGCCATCCTGGCATTTCGGGCGCAGACTTTTCTGCCCAGGCGATAGTTGTTTCATGTTGCTTATTACTAACATCTTCGCAAGCAGATGCCAAGAATCGTTCGAGCATATACCGTTGCCGTCTGATGCCAACAAACAGGATGGGCCCACTGGAAAGACCAAAGCGATCTTCACTCGTGGTCTGGGTGTTCGCTCCTGTCAGACAACGTGGTCACATAATATCTCACAACCTGGACGAGGGCACTTATCAAAATATTGTACGATATCACGAATCTTTGCGAGAGGTGCTAAAGTTGAAAGTCTCGGCATCCTGCCAGTTGTATCTGCAAATCGGACCGAAATCTTCACATCAACCACTTCAAACATGTCCGCCGCTACAGTGTGCTACAGTAATGTCCCGGAGGCGAAGATGGTGGAGGCAACGGCGGGGGAGTCTGCGAGGTCGATGCCAAAGAGGCCTTTCGCCGCGCTGGCCACACTTGTGCCAAAGCGACACGTTGAGTGACACAACGCTCTTCCCATTGATTCCCATTGCTGCTGATGAAAGACACGACATCCAAGCCTGGCTCCAGTGCAGCCTTGGCCCACTTGACCCTGTCGATGTTGGCGCAGGGGTGGCGACCGCCTGCGAGGGCAGCCGAGCACGGTCCGTGGCACGGGGAGTCACTTGAGATTGACACCGACGACACCACGAGAAACTCGAAGGCATGACAAAAAAACTTGGCTACGGCCACGGCCGTCGCTCTGATTTGTGGCTCGTATGGTACCTGGTCCTCCGCTGCCATCTTCAACGCTTCTGTGCGCATGCACGCTTTGACTGCTGCTCTCCTCTTCCGAATGTGCCTCCAATGCCTGCCGCTTCTCCTCCTGGCAGCGGCAGAGAGAACAACAAACGCAGACTCGCATTCTCGCATACACTTGCTTACTTCAGATCCTTGTACCTCGTCACAATAACCGGTAAAAAGATTGCCGATAGCTGGGGAACAGCCCTGAAGATAACCACTCTTGTTGGAGCCCTGAACCCACAACACCAAAGGACCACCTAGCCGAAGGCACCGCCGCTACTAAAGCCCCCAGGCCAGCCTCAACGGCTTGGCGACGGCGTTCCTCCGCTACCAAAAGGAGCTGCTTGTGAACTGAGTATACAGACAAGGAGGTCGGCAGGGCCAGCAGCATTGCACCGATAACTCAACGGGACAAAGATTGCGCTTCCTCCGAATACCTAGATTCTTCGCAACCCCTTAACCCTAAACCCTAAACCCTAAACCCTAGTGCTCTACTAAAGTGGGGGGCGTCGTGCCTCTGCAGCTTCGGCCGCCTCAGAGACATCAAACATCCTCTGACAAACCATGACCTCCACGAGCCAAGGGAGGCCTCGAAAAGCTGCGGAACTCCTGCTTGGCTCCCTACATGGGCCATGCGCACTTTGTTCTCCTGAGCTGCCTGCAGGTCTACTGATCCGCGGAAAAGGCGACTTGTTTCGCGCTTTGTGGAGTATGCCCCGGCCTCAGCAGCTTCGCGGGAGAGTCGCGTAAACTCCTCCTCTTCGGCCTTCTTCTGGGCCTACACACTCTGAGGACTCGCAAGAGACACCACTTCCACAGGTTGCCCACAGCATTCTGGGCCGCCTCTCGATTGTTCTCATTGTCAAACTCATTCTTGTCGATGTCCTGCGCGTCTTCGGATCCACAAGGCTACTCACACTGTGCTACTGTCAGTTTGAGCTCGGTCCTCGACACGGCTAAAAGCCTTTCGTCTGTGTTGAGTGGGCCTGAAATGTACAAGCTGAGTTTTCAAACATGTGCGACCACAACGGGTACTTCCTGTCAAAGTAAGTGTCCCCCAAAATACCGCCAAATACGAATATGAACCCTAAAATAAAAGGTCCCCCTGTTTTGGCGAACCCCCCAGATGGAAACGCGGCGGCCTCCACAGATCTTCCTTGGCGTAGATCTCGCTGAGCACGCTGCGGAAGAGCTGCTTCACCTGCAGCGATTCAGCAGTTGATTTCTCGTAGCCGGCCGAAAGAAACAGCAGAGTCCACAGCGCCCACACACGAGGGCCTTTTTCAGGTCATAAGCAGAGAGCTCGAAGTAGGAGATGTTGCTGTCTTTGGCGTATCTGCGGGCTCGCCCCACTCAAAAACATTCAACGGAAAACAACACACCTGCTGACTAGTCCCGGCCGGCCTTTGCGCCAACCGACGCTGCTCTCCGTCTGGAACAGCAGAAGAGCATGTGGCTTAACTAAAGCATTCTCAGCCGGCTACTGCTAGCGGCCTCGGGCTGCAGCCTACAAGCAAACGGCAAGGTCCCTCGTTCTCAACTCTCTCAACCTTTCCTCGCGCACCCCTGCAAACTAACATGGGTAGGGGGTTGTGAGTTCGTCTGGTCATAGGCGAACGCCCGATCTCTATGTCAGACTCGCGATGCAGGTCAGCATTCTCTACGTACACAGCCAAACACCAGAGAGCAGCAAGTTTGCTTGGCAGCCGAATGATGTGCGCACCTGTAGCGTCCGCATCCAGACAGTTTGCCACCAAGCACACCACAGGTCCTCAGATCTGACGAATTCTGCAAATGTTCTCCTGAAGCTCTTACAAGAATAAAAAAAAACTTCTTACAATCTCTTACACAACAATTTGCAATGGCGCACGTGGTTTGGCCCCAAAATGGCGGAAGTGACACTGTGCAGATGACCGTCTCGCTCTGTCTCCTCTACACTTTCATGTTGATTTCAGGGCTTCCCTCGCATAGGGTTTAGGGCCTAGGGCCTAGGGCTTAGGGCCTAGGGCTTAGGGTTTAGGGTTTAGGGTTTAGGGTTTAGGGTTTAGGGTTTAGGGTTTAGGGTGTCTCTGAGCGGCTCGTGGAAGCGTCGATGTCCATTCTCATCGCGCTGTGGAGGTCTTGTGCCTGGAAGAAAGACAAGCTCCCCTAGCTCCCCATGGCTCCTCCTCCTTTCAGCCTTCTTTTTTGGTCGTCCCCGCCCCCCCCCCCCCCCCCCCCCCCCGCAGCAAGCACAGGGATGTCTCTTTCGAAGTCATGAGGACCACCGCAACCCTGACATCAGCGAACTTCATTGAACGCAACAATCCTGTCTCTTTGCCTCCTTGAGCGAAAGTTGGGACGTGCAGTCGAAGACGAGCCTTACTCAAGCAAAAATCACTTTGCTGCGAAACGTCATCCGACTTCCGAATCAGCCTACTTCGTCCAAGGGACATGAAAGCCATTCGTCGAGGCGACAACGGCCGGTACTCGCTAACCTCCAGCTTCTCTCTCTCCTACTTACACCGCTGTAGCACTACTTGCCCTGACACTTACTTTCACTTTTCCCCACGCCGCCACTGTGAGAGGTGTTCTTGAAGGAAAGCTTAGGAACTACAGCTCTCAATTTTTGTTTGCAAGGCTTCCTTGTTTGACCACTTACTCTGGGAGAGTTCTCTCGGCGCTGCCTCCGGAATCTCATAGCCCTGGAGCAGCTCCACAGCCTCCCCATCTGTATGGACTGCCCGGTCCATCCTGAGGAACGTGTCCTCAGCTTGGGCTGAGGACAGGTGCATATGAACACACAAACCTCCAGTTCTTGCTGCTTTCTAGGAACAGGGGGTAGCGGTATCAAAAGTGCACCTCAACACAATGTCTCGGAGATTGCCGGGGAGCTATTTTCCGAGGTTGATCGTACTCATCCAGGCCATCAGACTTGCTGGCGGCATAGGTGTCCTCGATCCTTGGCATGTTGGGAGGTTCCGCTTTTTCGAAGCTTTCGCAAAGCTCTGCTGGGCCGAAGGCTCGACCATAGCGGGCTGTGGGGGTGCAGCCGCATCTCCTCCTTTCACAGACGGCCCCACTCTTTGCCCAGCAGGATTTGACGGCAGCTCTGCTCTGGCCTTTGGAGGTCACGTTGAGGGTTTTGTAGTAGAGCTGCGCGCTCTCCGTCTCCTTACACGTGGCAGCCGTGGCAGCTAGCCCCGAATCGGTCACGGGAGGATTCGGCCTCAAGCACTGTTGGGCAGGAGTTGTTGACAAAGGCATTGATCAAGGTCGTCTTGCCGCATCTGGAACCACCAAGGACTGTGATGCTGAACAGCTCAAGCTCCTAGGATCAGCACGTGCTTCGTCTGCACTGCCGTGCTGGGATTGCGGAACAAGGAGCTACTGCTCATCTTAAAACAACACCAGGCATGTGCTATAAAGAAAAAAATTAAGTGTGACAAGAGTCCATATCCAATCATCAGCGCGTACCAGCTGCTCTGCACCGATATGGAGGCCATACATCTAGCTTAAGTGGCATTTCTCAAGACGTAACGAGGTATCTTCCAAGGCATGTAGGAGACTTGTAGAAGCATGACAGCAAACGGTCCTACGAAGAACAGGCTTTCTGGCAAAATGCCGGATATGATGAAGACGATTCCAGTGCCGAAGTACAGGCACACTCTTTGCACAGATGAGAGACCTTCCTTCAGATTGACAGCATGCTCGTTTTTTTCGCAAGTTTCAGGGACAGAGATACAGGTATGAAGAGGAGACGCACTTTGACGGTCTCAAGGCTCGCTTTGGAGACCCCCTCTAGCCCCGGCGCGAGAGAATCATGTACAGGAAGAGCTGATGCGGCGCCTCTAGCTCAGGACGCATTGATCCTCGGGACAGGTCTACGACTCTACGCCTGCGAGCATCTTGGAATCTATTCGCGTGCGTGGCTTTTCCATTCCGTCATGCCGCCCTGCCTGCAGTATGGCCGTTTGCTTCTTCTTCTGGTAGAACTCCTCACAAGCCAGAAGCACATCAAATGCTTTCCCCCCCCCCACCCCCCACCCCCCCGCTCCGCCCCCGCTCAAAAAAACCAAAACGCTCCTCGAGCAATTTGCTTGCCCTAAACCCTAAGTCCCTAAACCCTAAACCCTAAACCCTAAATTACTAAGCCCTGAACCCTAAATTGCTAAACCCCAAGTCCTTCAGAGAGTCGCTGCTCCAAAGCTGCGGCCTCGGGGGCGCACTGAACACACCTTTTGTCATGTTGTTTCAATGTGTATATATGTATATATGTGTGTGTATATTTCATATAATGTATCATGTAACATAAAATAGAATATCTAGTATCTAGTACATATTTTAGATTTTGTCATACATCAAACCAACTATGAAATATAAGTACACCTATTACAGAATAAATAAATATGCATAACATATGATATGCAATGAGCAATAGCTAATATGCAGTTTGTAATATACAACATGTACTATATAATGTATTGTGTACTGTGCTCTATAATACAATGTAGTGTATAATATATAACATACAGTGAAAGTATGTAGTATATAACATATAACATCTAATAGTATGCAATACAATATACTTGAACGTACTAGTAATATATACTATGATTTTCTTTTGAACTAGTATAACGAATAATCTAGAGACAGTATCTAGTATCCAAAACCTATATATGTCAAAAGTGTTTCTTATAAGCTATCCGATTATAGAGCTTGCATCTCTTTTAATATCATTTGATATAGCACAACAAAATTAATACTAGAGTATCATATCAAAACGCATAATATAATACATATGTTTTGAAGATATATATATATATATTATCACATATTCTATACTTACATATAAATGCCTTTGCGAAGTGCTGTCTTGCCTACTTCCTCAGCGATGCCGTCTGAAAGAAGCCATGCAACTGAAGGATGATGTGCTCGACCATTTCTCGAAAGACCTTGTGCACACGGAGGAACTGCAGTGCAGAGACCTGCCAATGCGTGCTGACAGAAAGACATGTTACTGGGCAACTACCATGGCGTTAATATGAACGTGCTTTGTCGGATCTGGTCATGAGCTGGAACACAGCACAGAAGCTGCGCAAGCTTGACTGCCGAGCACGCAAGGAACTCTTGCTGCAATGGCACCTCGAAGTAAGGAAGCCTGGCATGCTCCATCATGCACACATGCTATATGCCTGTGAGTTCTCCCGGTCTGCTAGCACTGCGTCCAGTATGCAGCTCATACAATGTCTTCCACACAGCGTCTTCAAAATGCACGCTGGATGGGCGCAACTCAAGGACGGAATCTGAATCTGCCAGTATTTGCCGCATGTGCATGTGCCCGCCGGTCTGAGGTCTGGACTCCTTGAGCTCGGAAAACGCTCGCGCTGCCCCAAGGTTGCGCTTGGTCTGCTCCTCGCGGAAGGAAAAATGAACGAGTTCCGTCGGAACTGCAGTCACGCCAGCAGCAGGAGATCAAGAAAAGTGACAAAGCGAGGTCCCCGAGTGGGTCTTTGTCAATCCTCAGGTCACGGGGACATAACAGAATGGCCGCAAGCCCCAACGCATGAGTCACCATGACCGCTCATGCAGCCCAAGTCTCTTGTTGGCGACCAAGAACAGAGTGATGCCCTTCCTTGGAGCAGCTGAAGGCAACCGAGGGCCTAGCTAGCTCTCACATTGCGGGCACTGCCGAGGCTGAACAGGGCAAACTTTTCCGCCAGCATTCCGCTCGCTTCGGCCTTTTCAGCCACAGATCTGGAAACGCAAACAGCTTCCAGAACGTTCGCGCAGAGCGGCGAGGAGCTATCGACCGTATGGACTGGACCTGGCTTCTGTGGGAACACCTCGGAACGTTGGCACTGCAACGCCAAGAGTTTGCGTAGTACACTGGTGTACATCTCAGGGGAATCAGCTAAAGACGCTCTGCTTTTCGGGCATCCTGGACGTGAGGCGGCGATGTTTGTTTGATTTTGTGGCATTCTTGGAACTTTAAGACCATGAACCGATTGTCAGTTCGGTCTGGTGGTAGTCTGTGCATAAGGCGATCAACATCCTGCTGGTTGGGCAGCTTGCCAAGGGCTTCAGCGGTTCTTAACCCACTTCTCTCGACAATTTAACACTCCAGCGATACTTCCTGCGGATTCTCTGGCGGTAGGCACTCCAGGGACACTCCACGGGATTATTCAGGGGATTCCCTGTGGGAGTGTCTGGGGGTGGGTACTGCAGGATGCTTTGGGTGTTGAAACTCTGTGGGATGGGAGACCCGAGCGGCAAGGAGCAGATCACCGGCACTACGGAAGCTGAGATGTCCATCAACAATTCTCAGAAAGTCTCGAAAAGTCTCGAATAGCGCAAGCTTACGCAAGCCAAACCAGAGCTGAAGAGCTCTTGCGAGTCCAAGCAGCAGGCCACAACGCCTTTCTTAACTTTGGCATCTTGGATGTATGTCTTGATCCTTGCAACATCTTGCGACGGGCGCGGTTTGCACTCGACTTCCGCACGAACACCGGACTCACACCAAGGGCGCGGGCCAGCATGCATTGGGCGGATCATCCGTCGGTGAGCCTCCGAAAATGCGATGCTCCACGATTCGCTGCGACTCCCTGCGATCTTGTCGGCTTGGCCGCGCACTGAGCACCGCCACACGACAGTTGCCAGCTTTCCGCCGGTTGAGATGACGGCATGCCCGGCAGCAATCCTCTTTGTTGCCTCGGGAAGCAACGATGGCTTTGGCCCATGTTGCGGGGTAGACTTGCAGCTGTGAAAGGTACAGCTTCTGAGCCGCAGGACTGTTTGGGACAGTTATCGCATCAATGCCGATGTAATCATGATCTTCCTGGGGCACTTCTCTGTAAGTTCGAAAGAACTGACAAGCACTTTAGGTCTTTCACATATCTTCATATGCCTACTTTGAATGTTAACACATCTTGGGGCGCATTCCGCCTCAGTACCTCAATTCAGTGCACTTTGCTTTCATGTACGCTATGTTGTCATCCTTCATGTTAAACCACCAGCTTCTCAGCGGCTTCCGAAGACTCGGGCCGCCACCCCCCCCACATCCCCTCCCCAGGCCACTGTCCCCTGTTTTGCCCGGTTGCCTTCCTCGGCTCGGCGCCACTTTCTACACACAAATTCTCGGGTTCTGCTCGACTAGCCTTATGACACTGGATTTGTCACGTTTCAAGGAATGTTTTTATATGGAAAGTTATGCTGTAAATCTGTTTTTGGGAGTTTATGATTTATGATATGTTTGCGAAATTTCTACGCTTCTCTTCGATTGAAAAAATAGGATTGTTTTATGCAAGATTTATGTTTTTCGGTAGATTTTATGAGTTTCTTACTGTTTCTGAAAACTTGATGATTTTGGTCGGTCTTGTGTGTTTCTGTAATGAAAATGATGCAAGATCGATGAAAAACATACACTTTTCATAAATAAATTCATATATGTTGTTCATAAAAACGACGAAAAGCATAATATTTCCAGTCTCGTAAGTAATCAGAAATTTTCGTAAAAAAATATCATAAATCCAAAAACTTCAAGGAATATCTTGAATCATAAACTGTTCAAAAAAAGTTATTATTGGGCAACGTGCTCTCTGTGGCTGAACCCGGGGTCATAAGACTAGCCATGGAACCGGTATGAAGCAGCAGATCACATTGGAGCCCATGGCAAATCGAAGCAAGACTAGAACCACATACACGCAACTTGCAAGCAGCGCCCCGAGTCTTGACCTGCACCCGTTCATGCTGCACGTGCGTCCTCAAACCGGCACGGCAAGTCCGCGGGCGTAGCCTTCGCTGCTTTCGGCGAACCATTCGGCGAACCATTCGGCGAGCCATTCGGTGAAGCATTCGACGAAGGATAACCTCCCATGGGTCATCCATGCTACCCATTGGGCCATAAGTTGCTGGCATGAACACCTCAGAAACAGCTATGAAACATTCATGTCCGCTTCAACATGTTCTTTCCGCGAACGGATCCTGACGAATTCGGCCTGGACTTATCGTTATGTTTGTCTCAAGGTTTCATGGTGTCTTGGAGATTTCGTTTGGGGGTCCGTTGTTGCCAGCCCCCCGCACCATTACGCCTGAAGTCCCCTGGTTAATGAAGCACGCAGCTTCCTGCGATGGCTGGTGCTCGGGCAGGCGATGGCTTCGCGCCAAGTTCCCCGTGGAAGAGACTGGAGCCCAGAAGCTGGTGGACCTCTGACGAGGCACGTGCCCTGCACCCTCACTTTGAAATTTGATTGCGAAGGGCAGAAGGCCCAAAAGTGGCTTGGCAAGAGCTTCAAGCCTCGCAGCAACCATGAACAACGGTTGAAAAAGAAGCGACTTGACCCGAACGAGGCTTAAAATATCTTAAGATGTACCGCACACGAAAGCATGGCGGCAGTGGCAGTCTTTTGAGCCCAATCAGAACGTTGGGCCTCTTGCACTGCCAAAGGCCCATGCAAAGAATCCACAAGATCAGCGCCAGTACTTCACCCGCGCAAACTCAGAGTATCCTGAGCCTCAGGAGACCCTCTGCTGAGTGGAAACTAACGACTTCTGCCAACTGTGCGCCCTCTCCCGGTCGATCCGACATGCCGTCAAAGCGAGTGCGCTTTAGGGAAGCTTGCGCCACTCGTCCAGAGCAGACTTGGCAGTGTGATCCGTGTTCGCACATCCACCCAAAGCCGCCCTGAAAACAACGGATCACAGATGATCACAGCCGCCTCTGGGTACGGCTCTGGCTTCGGGGACCGGATCTTGCCTCGCCCCTGCGTCAGGACTGCCTGTGCAGATGCGTGCAGATGTTTGGCGCCCCTCAACCACAACATACATGCAACGACACGCGCAGACTTGGGTTGTGACCCTCCAAGGTGGATGCGTCGGAGAAGGGGTCTGGCATTAGCTCCTCTCAAGCTCTGGCAGATTGTGGAATGCTGCCCGAGCCACGTGCGAGCGGCGTCTCTGGCACCACCCGGCTCCTGGGCTTTGCCTGCCGAGTACATATGGACCTGGTGATGACACTGAGAATCTCATGTGCCTTCCTAGCAGCCGAAAACCAGGGGCCCCTCTCCACCCCAGAAGAAGTCGTGGTCTGCTGATGCATGCTGCCAAGAGGCGTAGCTGGGTAAAAACTCGCGAACATGTTGCCGGGAGGCACGGCCAAAGGCTTGGCTCGATGCTGGGTCGAGCATCACCCAATTCATGAACGTCACGGTGCCTTAAAAACTCAGAAGGCGAAAGGGGTTCTCTGGCCTTGGCCCGGCAGATTGCGAGATCCGTCTTTCGACCAGCACGTTGCAGGCTACCAGCTTTTGACAAGGTACCGTTGGCCTTTGCCAGCTTTGGCACTCCCTCAGTGGTAACGACATCACTTCGTGCCATCCATGCATCTCATGGATGCACACAATGTCTGAGTCTCACTTGCATTTTTTACGACCTCCCGGCCTGCGACGGTTCGCTAGAGGTTGTAGCCTAAAGGCACGGGAGACGCTGGAGTCTGCTTTATTCATGTATGAATACTGGGTTGATCTGGACAGTCTGGCGGCAGTGATCAAAAAATGTCACAACAATTCGAGAGGCGAGAAGGCGCCATGCCAGGCACAGCAGAAGCCGCATCCAGGTGACCCAGCCAGGGCCTGGGCAGTTTGGTGAAGATGTAAACAAAGGGTCTCGGCCGGTCTCGGCTCCCTTCGCTGGGCCCCTGGGCCCAGGACATGAGTGACCGTTGACTCTTTGAGCAGGGCAAAGGGCCAAAGCTGAACCCTCCTAGGACGTTCTGACGTACTGCTGTGAGAATGAGTGGCTCGCGCTGCTGCGTCTCTAGTCTCGGAAGCTTGAGCCAAGGACCACGACGCAGGACAACACGGACAAAACGGGCAACACTGGCGTGCAAGGTGTTCCGACAATTGCAAACAACCAAAACCCCTTGCAAAGCGCCGCACGGCAAAGCCGTCTTGGACCTGGGCAGAGTTCACTTCAGAGAGCAGTTTGGGACTAACTGGACAAGGGTGCTGCTCGTCCAAGGGTTGCACGAAGACTGCAAGCAAATGTTTGTAAACATCTCCATGGCCGTCTTCAATGACTCCTGCACACGCAAGTACACTTCTGCAGAACATACAACAGTCATTCAAGGCATCGCACTCCATGCTCTGCTCAACATGGAAAGGAGCGTCACCAGCCAAAGTGCAAGATGTCAGAATTGGAGGAGAATAATGGCTTCGAAATGTATCTGTGTGCACAAATGATTGAAACCCCCTCTATTGCATGAGGCTTGCAAATTGCAAGATCTCGCAACAACGTTGAGAGTACGAGGCTCTATGCGCGCGATGAAAGTCTTGCCCAACCTACCAAGATTGTGTTTGCCGTGGCGTGCCTCCACGGTTGCATCGAAGACGAGCAAGAAGCCCATCCTAATCTCAGAGATCGGAACTCCAAACTTTGCAAGATCTCACGAATCAGCGGGCCAGCGGGATTCGGGAATCGACTTGGACCGGACAGTTCCACCAGCGGGGCTGCGCAAGGCTTTGCAAGGCTCGTGCTAGACGATTGCGCGGCCCTGACAACTGAAGACACTCGGTCACTGGCCGGCATCGCGTCAATGGCTCATACCTCAAATAGCTCGATTGGGCCCATGGTTGGTGTTAAATGTAATGAGATGACTGCGATGAGTGCCGACATACCAAGCTGCCAGCTTCAGCTCAGTCAGTGCCTCACGAGATTTCAGCGCAAAATTGCCAAGTAAAGAGCTGCGTGGCTGAGCCGCGCATTGCAAAATCAGGGTGAAGCAAAAGAGGAATGCCTGGTACTCGGCAAACGGACCAAAGTACTGCGGCGTGACCTGCGAAGACAACAAACTTTCCCCTGCATAGCAAGCGGATTTGATCCCTTGGGCAAGCGCGACAGGCTCCGCTGGCGGTGGCTTCACCTACAGGAATGTGACAAATTTGCCGGACCACGACTAGGCTCACCGCAACTACTTGCACACAGCTACAAGTACATAGGCAAGATTTCAAAATTTCCGTTCCTCTAGGAGCTCGTTGATGTCTTGCTTCTGTCCATATCTCAGCTGGCAGGTGCCCATGGACATGAAGACACGCGTTCCAGGAAACTGTACCATGGGCAATACGTATAACAACCAGAGTCGTCACCTCAGGTGCTGTGCCCTGGGGCTCGAGCATGTCAACACCGCCCGTTCTAATTGGAGCGTACGTGTCTTCCAACCTGTCAAGCGATCACGTCTCGTCTGCTTTAGTTCAATTCATGAATGGACCAACCAGCAGGCATGACTCCACGAGAGCAGTCACCATCTCGTCCTCATCCAAAGGATTTGGTATCTTCATCGTCCTGGGGGGATGACAAAGCCCGCTGCAAGCATGTGGCGGAAACTGCCGACACAACCCAAGAATATCGGAAGTTTAGGTGGAGGGCTCTGAAGAGCTTCAAGAGAATTACAGTGTTCCGGCGCATGTCAAGGTCATGGCATCAGATCGCTCACGTTGACTACCCCTGCTCTAACGGAAGCCCCGCGACGTCCTGTAGTACAGCGTCGGGTCGAGAGTCGGTGTGTAGTTCTCAGAGCAGTGCGGAGGGGCAACAAAAATCGGCCATGGAGACTCGCCCAGCTCGACCGGTCCGCTTTCCCGCAGAGGAATTCAGTGTCGCCACTCTGGGGAAGCGGCTATGGACACTGAGTTGTTCAGCCAGGCGTTTATCAAGCCTGAGTCTCATTGGGCATACCAAGGATGGCATGTCCCATCTTCACGCCAGCACAGTTTTCAAAAGGCGAAGGAGGGGCTTAAAGAAACGAGAGCCGTCGACCCGCAACTGCTAGGGAAAGCTGAGACCAAGGCCATCCAAGGCACAACACTTGACTACTCAAAAAACCAAGGTTCGGACTTGTCTTCCCGCTGTCCGCATCACCAATCCTTGCGCTGCTTGCAAGGGCTTACAAGGGCTTACAGCTTCTAACCTAAGAGTCCAGCTTGGCACCGGAAACTCCACAGAAGCCCTTTGATTACCTATAGACTACTCCCCTGAATCATTGAGTTAAACTCCAAAGTACAACGACTGACTGGGGCACTGGCACGGTAATGCGGAGAAATGGAATCACGTTGTCTGGAACTGCACAGGACAAAGCACAGGCGTCGCAATGCGCATCGTTCAAGCAGCAGGAAAGCAACTTCAAATCACAGTGTGCCCCAAGACAAGTACCTGGGGGCTTCTTTGCCATGGAGACGGCTATGTGCAATAGAGGATTTCTGTCCAGGCTTTCACTCAGCCTATTTGATCCTATTTGTCTCACTTCAACCGACTGGATATGGTCAGTGTCCACTACGCAGCTGCTGCTGTAACCTTAGCAGTCTGACCTGCCTCACAAGGCAATACCATGGTCGAACGCTGCTGTTCTAATCAGGCAATGAAGCCGAGGAAGCAGAAATGCTTGACATGCAGCAAACGACATGCTCAAGAACATGAGTGCCATGGGGAGGTTTGCGAAACAGGGGACCCCTGATATAGACCCCCCAAATAGTAGGACTCCCTGGAAAAAAAGGGACCCCAATAAGGTACCCCAACCCCCAAGACTGCTTTCTCCTCCAGTTGCGCGCGGCAGCTGCCTTGGGCATGTTTGCCACGGCGCTCGTGGTGTCCAACATCGAGCCAGCTTGGTGCTTGCACTCGTCCAACTCTCTAGCAACTCCTTCATTGTCGAATGCTCGCCGGATCCTTGTACATGTTGTGAATGTGCTTGAAATTAGGACAACAGGGTGCAGGTGAGAAGGCTCGCGCTGGTGGAAATTCAGCCGAAGCTGCAGTTAAAACGCATCTTTTGCGCGGCCAGCTTCAGCCGGCAGGAAGAAACGTCTATGACCACGTCCGCATGCTGAGCTTGAATTCATCAAGCTTCTGAAGCATGCGCAGCAAAGTCAGGCCTTGGATCGGAAACATTAGACTGGGAATTCAGGGTTTTTCTTGAAGAGGTGACCCTAATACAGCATTGCGACCAAAGAAACTGCAGACGTCAACCAACTGAACCAAGCATCCAAAAGTTGAAACATTCTCAGGACAACTAACCAGAACACATCCGGGTCCTCTATCTTTGGAGCGAAGAACCAAAGCCAGAGAAGCCAGTGCCCTTCATGAAAAACCTTACAGCTACAGCCCTGCGTCGTGAGGTGCCAGGCAGCTTCGCAGGAATGCATGCCCCAGATAAACACTTCAAAGTCACGGTGCTGTTGCTTGCTTTCCTTTTCAAAGAACTTTACGCTCCTAGAGTTCAACACATCCACAGAGAAAGAGACTCCTCTATGGCTCATGTATTCGACAAACATGTCTTCCGCTAACGATGTAACATCAAAGCTTCAAAGCCTTCCATATCTTTTGGTTGAGAAAACCTGTCCTTGGCTCTATATAGCTCTCTACTTTTCTGCAGTGAAACACCTCTGTTCCTCTGTGCGAACAGCAGTGGATAGAAGGAAAATCCATGGACATTCTCATCGGACAATCTATCTCGTCACAGGAAACCTTCTCCGTCATCTCTATCTCTTTTGATCTCAACCCTCGATGTTGCGCAACAGAATTGTCCAGGCATGTAGAAGCCGGGGGAGCTGGGACCCCGACTTTTTGCTTGTTTTACTTCGGGTACTTTGCCATAGGAAACCTCTGCCTTTCATATGTTTATACAAAAGAGACGTATTTCTCCGATGCTGCCACAGGACCTCGACGTCCTCTACTATGTGTTAACAGACGAACTCCCCTTCAGAACCAGGACACGCCTATTTCCTCTGTGTGCTCTATGCCTCGATCGGAAAAACATCCACTTCCCCTTATGTTGGAACGGCGCAACCTTTCTTTACTCTCTTCATGGCCAACCTCCCTCCTTGTGAAGAAGCCCCCATAAGTTTAATTGGGACTCTTCCATTGTTTTGGGCTCTTTCAGAGGGCACCCGAGGTCCAGCAAAGCACCCGTTCTAAGTTCGCGGCTGGGCCACTGCTTCCCGTTGATGGAGTAGATGCTCGAGTATGCCTGGCAGGCCCACTAGCGCTTCACGCAGGAGAAGCTGCTGGTCCTCCAGCCTCGCCTTGATCTGCAGCTCTGGCTCCGCGTTGCTGTTGTAGTCAGGGAACAGGCCACGATCCTCAAAACGATCTCTGAACCCTAAAACCCTAAACCTTATAAACCCGAAACCCTAAACCCTAAACCCCAACATGGACGATGAAAGACACCGGCAGTGTAGGGCCTGGAGGTTCAGGATGACGACGCCCAGGCTCTCTTCAGCTGCAACTTCAACGCCCAGCAGCTTCTCCTTCTTCTTGCGCTTCAGCGCAATGGACAGATACCTTCAGATGCCGGCAGCTATTCTAGAGCACATGCAGCCCTCGATACCTCGGGAGGGCAGTGCCGAGGGCAGTGCCTCGGGTGTTCCAGCGTGATGCTGACGTTTCCCTCTTGATGGATCATGCCCAGAAGGTCCTGGCCGACATCGCAAAACCATCAAAACAACAAGTCCCCATCATATACCTGTCGACAGCGTACACGCCAATGCACATCCGAAACCCTGAGACACCCTCACCAAGAAACAAGGCTTCCTCTGCAGAACCTTTCTCACCGTTCACGGCAACGACACGATCCATAGGTTGAAGTACCTCGGTCGTTTGGGAGACTTCCAACATAGCTTCTGTCGCGTCGAGTCCGGTCCCTCTGATTTTGAGGCATCGACGGTGTCCTTGTTGCTTTGGACGCTGTTCCATTGCGCGAGTGCGTCGGAACCAACGTCTGAGATGACAAGCAAGCTGTCGACCTTGCACTGCACAAACACCGACACGGAAAACATTGCAAAACCTTGCCAGCACGTCGGATACCGAATTTAGCAAAGCCACGTGGGCGAATCGGATGCCTTGGTAGCCGCGGCCCTTGTCAAATGAAATGGTGAACACGTTCTTGTTCACATCATCCACCTCAGCGGTGCAGGCTTTGACTGCCTTCTCCTGGCATTCCTTGAAAGCTGTGGACATGAAGAGTCTATTTCGCGAGCCCGGGTGTGATGGCGAAAAACCCAGGCCCACGGCTTTCACTTTGACCTCCGGAATGTCCACAGGTCCTGCAATATCTTTGAAGCTTCTGAAGCTTCCCAGCTGTCCAGTCCCAAAGCAAGCTTTGGCTCCTGACTCTGCACCCTGCTTAACCTCAGTTCTCGGTTGTGAGTCCATTCAGCTCGCAAAAGTGAGGTTCTCTCTTGGGCAGCAGCGTGACCATCCATTTTGGCTTCGTACGCATCGGTAAACACCTGTACAAAACGGACAAAGACAGTGCAATCCGAAGGTACAAGCAAACGAGTCCGCAGCCGTGTGAAACCCTGGGCCCCCGGCGTCGGTACATAGGCACGACATTGCTGCCAAGACCTTGTGAACTCATGAGACAGCATAGAGTTGATTTCGGGTACAGCAGGGGGACACCTCGGGAGAACGCGGGGTCGCGGGGAGGGACATGGGGAGGGATGCAAAGAGGGACGCACGCGACACAGGGAGGAACGCGGCGGAGGAACGGAGCGAGGAACGCGGGGGACACGGCGGACGTGAGGGACGAGGGACCGCGACAGATGCGGTGAGAGGGACCCCTGATGCGGGATAGGTTTGCCCAGATGCACAGGATGCTCTGCAGGGATGCACTAAGACCGTGAACGTTCAGCCCAAGGGGTCATGGATGCTCTGACAACATGGACGTTCCTATGGTTTAGGCACGAATGCTCTGCTGGCCACCGGATGCTCTGGATGCATGCACCAAGAACATGGATGTTAGCATCGTGCAAGCATGGATGCTCGGGTGGTAACATGGACGTTCTTATCGTGGAGGCCTCGAGCGGACGTCCTCATAGTGCGCGCACATGCGCGCACGCATGTCGCATGCTATGGATGCACCGGTACAATGCAAGTTCTTCTCGTGTGGGCATGGATGCTCTGGCCACTGGATGCTCTGGTAAACTGGACGGTGTTATCGTGCAGGCAGAGAGATTCTCGAACTGGACGCAAGGGCAACATGGATGTTGTCGCACGCACATGAATGCTCTGAATGCGCGGGCAACATGGACGCCAGTCGTCACGTGGACATTGTTATCGTGCAGATGAGCAGGGATGCGGTGGATGTACTGGAAACATGGACGTCTTTATGACGCGGGCTCTGGCAACTGGATGCACGCGTACAGGAAACCTGGACGTTCTGGATGCACGGCAACATGCACGCACTAAGCCCGTTCTTATCACCGGGCATGGATGCTCTGGGCACTGCATGCGCTTGTAGCATGGACGATCATGGACGTTCCTATCGCACGGGCATGGACGCTCCGGCCACTACCGGATTCATGCCGGGCGGGACGTGGGGGATGCGAGTGGGGATGTGCTGGGGACGCAGGGAGGGACGCAAGGGACACAGGAGACACAGAACGACGCGGAGACTTGGGGGACGCGAGGGACATGGAGGAAGCGGGGGACGAGGTCTCACATGTACTGGCCTGTCAAATCTGTCAAGGGCACAAATCATTCTCAAAGCTGCACAAAATCAACTGTCCATAGCACCCCCACCTCTTCGAGCGTCTTCAGCAGTGATTTTGTCTCCAGCCCGCCATGCACGTGCGTCCACGGGAAGACCACTCACCAGATACAGGTGCTTGCTGAGTTTGCTGGGTTTGCTTGGTTTACTCACACTTTCCATCATGCTTGCAACGCCTTGGGCCATATTCACAACAAGACAGCATCGGGGGGGAGGGGGAAGCTGGCAACAGCGGTTGATCCGCAATCGTGCCTTTGGACGTTTTGCGCTCAGAGTTGCAGGAGGTGTCCGGCATAGACCAGGCGAACCAAGACTAGCGCACATCCATGAGAGGGACGCCTAGTAGAACCTGCTAACTGCACCAGCATCACAAGCAGGCCAGGCGGACACAATGCTTCAAGACTGATTTATTCTCAGCACGTATTCCACGACGCATGTAGAAGCACAACTTTGCAGCATCAGTCGCCGTCACTAGCAAGCGGCGCTCCTGGTCCATAGTCTTTTCGGAGCAGGGAAGGAAGAGTGGGAAAATGGCACATTGCGGCACCCCTCAACCCAGGGAGCCTGCCTCAGGTCTTGGGTGATTTGCCCCACCTGAGCAGACATGACCCATCTCCCGCAAAGTGCCAGCAAGATTTTGTCAGCCAGTCAATGCAGCATGCATACAAAAGTGTGCCAATGCTCTCTGTGATGTAGGCAAGAGCGACCGGGGACTGAACAGCGGCAAGTCACTTTCTCACACGGGAAAGGAAAGACTGCCGAGCTCCTGAACAGCACACAAAGCACACGGAGGCACATGCTCCCTCTTGCTCGCCCTCCTACGCTCTCCCAACTCCGAGCCCTTGAAGACGCACCGGCCTTTTTCCACGTCTGTGGATTCGGAGACCTGAATCAAGACTGCCGCCGGTTGCTGTTGCAGTGGAGACGCATGCCTTTCGACTTTTCGATCCACATCTTGATACCCAAGCTTCATGCCACCATCTAGCCCTCAATACAGCTCCAATGGCCCCCAACCCGTCAGAAAGTCAGAGCAAAAAGTAAGTGCTACAAAGGGGCAACGCAAAAAATCATGGCAAGCAAATCAAAGCACCAGCATTGGAAAAAGCGGCCCAGACCCTTCAATTGTGAGTTTCTGGATGCACTGCTTGAAGTCTGTGTCAACACTTACAGCCTCCCCAAGAGGGTGCTGACTGGGTGCCCTCTTTCGCTTATCAGAGGGTTGCCTTGGAGTGAGAATTGCTAGACAAGGTCCGCCTCCAAAAGCATCTCGGCTTGCTCGCCCTTGTGCTGAGCAACAGCAAATCCAACCTCAACATCAGGTACACGTGAAGATAACTCCTCTTCAAGCACCATTCGGAAGCAGGTTATAGACTTAGCAACCCTCATCTAGTAGTGATCATACTGCAGAAGATGTGAAGTCAGGAACACAACAACATTTGGGGTATCAACGGGGTACCCCTATTTTGGGACATGTCCATAGGAATCCTTGAATGCAAAAGCGTGTCATTTGTCCGTCTGTCTGTCACTGGCAAACGAACGGGATCTGTAAAGTGAACCTTCGAGGGTGGTTGAGCATTCCAGGGCGTCTCGCCACCAATGTCTGGAATGCCTATGCCTGAGAGCAATCTCTCATGCATCCGCCCCAAAGCCTTTGCACTTAGGCGGCAACGTGCGCGCTTCTTTGGCACGCTTCGCTTGGCGAGCAGCAAATTTAAAGGATTAAAATCTGCAGTCTGCAAGGTTGCACTCATGATCTCCTGCAGATGAATCTTTGCACCTAACACTTAAAACATTCAACAAGACTTGGAGTGCAACCTTGACGGAATCTTACTCGAGAATACACCTGCTGCACATCAACCAATGCTGAGGGTGCCAGTCAGCTGGATTCCCACATGCAGTTCAGCGAGCTTACAAAGTTGTCCCTGTACCTCAAGACTTTTGCCGGAATCACGGTCATGGGATTCTCGCGCCAAGCAAAATTGTAAACTGGGCATCGGTGTAACAAACCAGTCTCAACTGCAGCCCGCATGCATCATCCCCACCATCGACCTGCCAGCAGGAAAGCCAACTGCAAGCATACGCGGGGAAGAGGATGCCATTGTGCACAGAGACTTGAACAGTATACCCTTCGTTCTTGGAGCCCTGGCATCATGGTCGCAAAGATGATCAGAAGAATCATCAGAAACTGCCACCACCTGTCCGCATGCATGCCCGACCCAACAGATGGTCCAGGATGCTCACACAGCCACTGGACCAGGCCTTTGCTCCCAGCCGAGCAAGAAGAGTCCTGCAAAGCCTGGTGCCCAGCCAACCATGGCGGCCACCTGGGACACATGGGTCAGCTTTTGGCTGAGAGCTTGCAATCACATCCAACCCTTCCAGCCGCCTGACTCGCTCCGTTCACGATGTTGCAGAAGCCTTCAAGTGAAGTGATGCGGTACCAGTGCACGACAAAAGCAGCCGTCACCCGAATCCAATGCCCGTCTTGGCATCTAGTGTCATCCAAGCAGCCTAAGTGGGTGACCACACAGCCTGAGAACAGGGGTGGGGGACAGACCGTGCAAGCCGCAGCTTTTGCAAATTTGACGAACGCTTCTTCGACACAGGCGCCTCCCGCCGCAGACCCCAGGATAATCGCAACGGCCGCAAAGTGCGAAGGGCGCATAGGAAGAATGCCATGGAGCTGGAAGACCTTCAGGGAGCCGACGCAAGATGCCAGAATGGTCCCCCCCGGCCCCTAAGCAAGAAAAACCACCAGGGGCACGGCCTTCACTCGGACCTTCAAGAGCCGATCCGACATCCTGGAGGCCGAGTCAAGTACATGGCACATCGCGGGGGTTTTGGGGTTTTGGGTACAGGGGGGTTTTAGGGTTCAAGGTCTTACAGAGGGTTGTGGGCTGTTAGTGGGTTTTGGGATTTAAGGTGAAGTGCAAGCATAGCCCTCTGTCCAGGACAACGTGCTGCGCGAAGGTCCAGCATCGAGGTCGCTAGATGTGCCTGCTGGACCACTACAAGAGAAAGGTCGTGGGATGTAAACCATGTAAACACATGCCCTCCCATGTCCTTCAGTACAAGAGCACGAAGGAAGAATCACTGGATTGAAGAGGGGCCAGGGTTCAGCCGGCCGCTTGTGCGCTGAGTGAAAGCAATATACCAAATCTAGCCTGGGCCTGGCGACGGAAATGTCCTAGACTCCTATGGCTTTTTACAGCGGACAAAAGGGGCAAAGGTGCCGACCTCACAACTTGTGGGCAGCTCCAACCCCTCGACACAACAAATTGCAGCAAAAAAGGTTGAACCGCGGATAGAACCACCATCGAACATTCGACCTTCTTTTTCATACCGTCACCGCGCCCCACGAGTGTGCCTCGGGGGATCACATCCTCATCAAAAATCAGTGAATCTTGAGGAGAAGGAATCATCAGAGGCTGTCGATGTCGCCAGGCACGCTCCTGTTGAGACCGACTCGCAGAAAGAATCTTGGACAAGGCTCCTCATGCCAGTGGCCTCAGCGTGCCGCAAGGGCGCCACCATCGATTCCAGGTAGATTGGGTAAACGGCGATGACCGCCAGGCCCACACCTACACGAGCAACATCTCCCGACCTTGGTGGGAAACGCGCGAGCCTACATCTGCAAACATGCGTCATGAAACGAGCCAGTCATCTGAGCGACACATCTGGAGGAAGATTGTTCCTCATCTGAGCGCACATGAAGCAGTCAGCAGACGACTTTTTGGGATGTGCCTCCCATAAGGTGCCCCATCACGCTGTGAGACAAGCTGCAAAATATTCGAAGACACACCATCGCCATACAGGCGCAATGCCATGAGGCATAGCGTAGTGAAAAGCAGGAAAACAAAGCAAAAGCCTGTCGAAGATGGCAGCTTTGGACTCGACACGCACCAGATTCCAGCTTGCACCACATTATGCCTCCAAGGAACTCACTACGAGGCAAACGCTGAATCGCCGGACGCTCCGGTCTTCCAGCACCTCGTACATCGGGATGGTACACATCCTTATCCCGTCCGCTCGATTTCTTAGCAAAAACAACGCAGCTTCCACGTTGTGCCGTCTCATGGTTTGCTTCGTTTTTCATTGTGGCAAGCTGTCCGCACCGTGCATCTCACAAACGCGCCTCCAGGGCTTCTGAGTCTAAGCAACTCCTACACACAATCTAGATCAATTACGAAAACCAACGACCTTCTAGGACTTTCGCATGATTTGCATGGGCTTAAGGCCTTAAGGCTTCTGTTGCGCTTCCGCTTGCTCCGCACAGCTTCGTGCAGCTCAGGTGCTGTGGAAACACAACTAACTGAGACTTTGGAACTTTGATATGTAGCACGTGACCCATGCAGGGGACCAGTCAGCTGCATGAAGCCGCTGAGAAGCTGGAAGATCATCGACTGCATTAACGCGCTGCCCATGGTGATGACGCCGGGTCCTTGAGTTCCGCGGCTACACTGCAAAGCAGCAGCCACCAAGATGTAAACCGTGCAGAAATTGTACGCCCGTTTTGCAGTGGCAACTCTTCGACAGCAACACAATGCTGCTAGAAAGCCGGCACCAAGCCAGCAGAAGGGTTGGTGCGATGTTGCTTCGGACCTTTCAAACGAAATCAGCCATGCAAGCAAGCTTAGACCTTCTGACCTTTCAAACGAAATCAGCCATGCAAGCAAGCTTAGACCTTCTGACCTTTCAAACGAAATCAGCCATGCAAGCCAGCTTAGACCATCTTCGACGCATTTACCATTGTGATCTATGATCACAACGATGCATTTGCAAAAAACATGCGCAAGACTGTCAATCATGTAGCAAACATTCGATGCAAAGTGGCTGGGATACAAAGAGGAAAGTGATGAGAAGAACCAAGTATACATTGGCCTGGCAATTGCCGGGCGAAGTGCTTCAAACGTGCTTGTGGCCAATACACTGGCGTTTTTAGACAAGAAGCTGCCACGCTCAGCGTGGAACTGAAAGCAAGATACTCTGGATCCATTAAGGAAAGCGGGATGACCTGGGCGCTGTTCATGCAATCCACGGACTTGCGAATGCTCTCACTCACCCATCCACCAAACACTTTCCAGCGTGACAAGCGGCCAACAGGGTTCCCAAGAGAACCGACACCTGTTTGTTGATTGTTGACGGAAAGCCAACGAAGTCTGCAAGGGGGCTGAAGGCATCAGCAACCACCACAAAGTAACCTCAGGGTCCGCTGTCTTGAAATTCAGCAAGCTGCAGTCGCTGGGAGATCAACGGCATCTCTCATGACCAACGGTTTACCGAGCAACCCAGCAAGGCAAGCCCCACGGATAACCAAATGCTTACATCGAATGCCTCAGGATGCAAATTCTGGCATGTCTCAACATTTCAATATTCAACACGCGGAGTCTCCCCGTGCACTCACTTCTGTCGAAGCCACCCAGCGGAGCAGCCTGGCCCACTTGCCGGGAAGGCACCCCATCAAGCCACCCAAGTCGAAGACCTGCTTCCGTTCCTGGGTCTCGTGAAACTGACAGGACTCTGAAATGGGAGCTCAACCCGATTTCAGCCAAGAGTCAGCAGCTGCCACCAGAATAATGTTCGTGACGGCATTGAGAAGCAGCACCACGAGTGTAACACCTGCTCCGCCGCAGTGTGGCATCGAGTAGCTTTCAGGCAATGAAACACCGCTCGATATCTCACAACAAGAAACATTACAAAAACCATGACCACATAGCGGGCAATTCAATGCGATGCTCGGAAAGTCCCGAAAAAATCGGCAGGCACGGGTAGTCGTCCGCCAGCCGGGGTTTGATCAGAGGCCCTTGCTCAAAAAAGATGATCTTGCACTTCGTTCCGGGCTCTGTTCTATTTGGGCTTCCCAGCAGCGCTGGCTATTTGGAAGTTATGTTATTGCTCGACCCATGTGTTTCTTTCTGGGTTTTTGCACAGCATGCGTGGCATTTCTTATCATCTCCTATTACCAAAACCGATGTTTTTCCAAATCAGGAAGAGCACACGTGCCTGCCGATGTTCTCCCCAGCATCCCAACCCGCGGTCATGCCTACATATGCCTACCAACTAGAAGCAAGTACAAGCGTATGGGATTGTCTTGGCAAGAGCTCCATATGAGCTTTTCCATCCTGCTGCGACAAGCAGTGAAGACCCAGCGGCCGCCCACGGCAGGCTGAGCATGCCAGAGCCCAAGCCTCGCAGAATCAAACTTTGAAAAAGGATCTGCAACAGTTGCACCAAAATTACAAAAAGAGAGTCTTGCCGCCGCGATCGCTTCGCTTCATTTGAAGCAGAGGAGCTTGCATTGACCAAGTTCAATGTCATCGCCTGTGCTGGTAGGCAAAAGCGATGGCGATGCTTAAACACCCTTTTATGTCTTGCTCACGTGCAGTGCAGTCCAGTTGCTGGCATCGAAACACGGCCGTTGCACTCGTCTTGGCTGAGGAGTGGTGTGGAAAGCTCGTCGAGAAGCACACCTCCGAACAATCGATGGAGAGATGGAGTTGAGCTTGAAGGAGAGTGTGTTCGACCCGTGCGCACCTTGACTTGGGGCACCGGAAAGGGATGCCAGAGACTCCTTGCGCTCAACACTACGAAGCACAGTACGAAACCCTGCCGACGACTGCCAACGATCCTCCTCCTCCTTCCAGGTCAGTGTGAAAGACCCTTCAGAACCTCCATGCCCTCAGCTGCAGCGCTTGGCATTTCTGCCATGTTGTGTGCCGTTCTGTTTGCCATTTTTATGGGTTCCATTCCTTTCCATTGTCCTGCCACTGCCGCAGCCAAGTGACATGCTTCATATTCGCTGCTACACGTGCACAGTTCGCTGTAAGGAGCTTGTCAACTGTAGGGAAGGCTGCTTTTTTCAAAGTAGATACACTCGCACCAAGCAAGGCTCTGGTGGCAGTCAGGCGGCTGGAGGCCCCCATTGCCCGGAGCGCGCTGCAAGCCGGACACGATTGCAAAGCTACGAGAGCACCACTGAGTAACCACAACAAACAGGTCCGAACTGACCCCTCGTGTGGTCTAGCAATGTGAGGAGCCTGGTGTTGGTGTTCACGGCACATGTTTCAGTTTCAGCCTTGCGCCTGTCATGATCGAACTGATGGCTTCATCCGGATGCAAGGTGGCTGTCAGCCAAAAGCTCACAATGCAGGAAGTGTCCAGAACATCACGCTCCCAGGTGCTGAAGGAGGCTGGGAAGTGGAACAGACCCCCGACACCTCTCAGGTCTCTTAAGGTCTCTTGCCGGGGAAGCACAGTATGGAGACGCGGCTAGGCTCCACGCACGGCTATTCTCGTGATCGTACACTGTGAAATACTTCCTTGGAGACGCGGGCACGTAGCTCCGAACAACTCTGCACATCGCACCCATGTGAGAAGTCTTCATCCGGGTAGCTGCAGGAAGGGAATCCCGAAGACAAAGAGCGGCCCCTACATCCACAAATTTCGAATGGAGCTGTTTGAATTTGAGTATTCACTCTGAAGGGACTGAAGGGTCGTCTCAAGAAGGCTGAGCACTGCTGGCCTTGGGCGGGGGAACGTCCAAGTTCATCAAGGACAGGTTGCAGCCACCAAAAGATCCCTCCGCCCAGAGCGCTCACTGCACAAGTCTCCCCTTCATAGGCGCCCTGAAACTGTGTTGCAGTTGAATGCCAAAACACTTCCGTATAGGCCTCCGATGTATAGTCCTTCGGGGACAGGCTCAGGATCTTGGGCTTTCCATTTGGCCCACCTGTCCAGCAAAAGGCAAGCTCGAAACAAGCCCCACTATCCACCAACAGCCAGAGAAACGGTTGAAGCATGTTGAAGCCATGCCGGCATGGCGGACCGCAAAGCCAAGCTTCGGCAAGGCATCCTAGAGAGAGATCGACACTAGGCTACACGTTGTGGATGATTGCATAATATTGCATATCATCTCGCTGAGGGGGCGGCAATGTTGGAGCAATCATGTCCAGAGCCCAAAAGCCTTACAACAGATGGGGTTTCTCTGATACAACCCTCTCGCAACGCTGCAAGAAAGAAGGCAAGCAGCTGCTCCAGCTTGGCGATGATGTCTGAGGGGCCTGTCACAGGACTTGGAGGCGCCCTTACGCGTAGCCCTCGATACACAGATCCCCGCCTGCAAGTTCAGAAGTGCCCGTGTCCACGGCGACTCGGCAGCCCTGGCAAAGTTTCCTTGGCTGTCCCATAGTATACACGCCAACACCATCAGCCCAAATTCAAAACATGTCGAATACCTCCAAGAAAACAGACAAAAAAGCGGCAGACAAACGATTTGTGAATTTACTTTAGTGCAGTACATGTCTTAAACTCCTCACGCGATAGTCAGCTTGGAAGCTGTGGATGCTCACCGAGGTAGATGTCCTGGATTTCAACCTGCAAGGGGAGGAGTTCAAAGCACAAAACGCAATGCAGGTGAAACTAACTTACTCAAAACTTAAAGCGTGTGCCTGCCAATACCCTGCATCTCCGACCACATTCACCCAGTAGAGCTCTGAAGCCATGTGCTCCTGACAAGTCTCGCTCTGCTGGGGAACCTGTGCTGCAACTACAGCAGCTGCTGTGTCAGTTTCCTGCTTGATGGCTCCAAAGGTGATTTCGGACTTCTCTTCATCTGAGTCGGAAAGGAAAACCGAAAAGAGCGGTTGCCTCAGCATGCAAGCGTCTGCAGAGCGCACACAGCGACCAAATGCAACGAAGCCAGCTTTTTGACATCAACGCGAGACGAAGAATCAACAAACAGAGAGAACTAGCTGACGAAGTGTGGAACTGTGCGTTTGAACTGTCAGGGCTCTGGCTTCAGAACTCCTGCACCATGCAAACGGCTCATGACGCTGAACTCGTTGGACTGGCGGCAGTCAAGGGCATTCAACGAGCGTATGCTGCAACAGAGTCTCCGCAAGCACAACGTCGTTACGTGACGAAGCCGGGACACAGCTTGGGGGGATTTGTGGTGCCCGGATATCTTTCGAGTGCAGCCACTAGGCGCCTGAGCCATAGAGTCCAGAGCGAGGCCCAGCACCCCGTCAAAGGAGAAGGTTGCGAACGGCGTGTAACTTTCGTCCTGCACTGCAAGAAGAGCTTCTCACATGAAAGCTGAAGCCCAGACACGGCTGAGGTGCCCGCGAGAGAAGAGATGAAGTTGCCTTTAGAGCATGCGGCCCCAACCTGAAGTTTGAAAAATAGAGAAGAAGCCAACGTAACAACAGCCCAGTGTCAAGATGCTAGTTACATCCTATGAACTGCCCTCCTGCCCGGCTTACTCCCGTTTTCAACCACCATGCAACTCTGGCTGCAAACAAGACGCACATATGGAGTCCGTGAAACACTGACCAGTAATCTTTCCAGTGCCGAATGTAATTGTGATTTCGTCCTCCAGGCAGCAAAGTCTGCTGTCTGACAGTCAAACCATGCTGACAGCACTGAGGCAACGGGGTCCGGCAACATCCCGTGGGAGACGTTGCTGCCGTCGCAATTGATTGGATTGATCTCGGCCGAAACTACAACGCCCATTCCCATGCTGACCAAGCGATAAATGCCAGAAGCAAAGACAAGGAGCACGACTGGACTTCACAGGGACACAAGGGCAGGTGCCAAGGATCGGGCTCCACCACTTTTCCTCAACAATCAAGCTCTTTGCTTCAGAGGTCCGCCCATGTCCGCCCTGCCCTGTCCCTGCCTGTGGTCGAAACGGCGATGGCTGGTGCAAGCCTGAGGTTCGGGATAAACTGCGGCTGTCCCACGGAAACAGATGTCCGAATACAAGAGCCCCGGCATCGCTAGCGCAATCACTGCCAGGAACCTCAGTGTGACAAAGTGCACGTTCTGCCCTCCAAACATCGACTTGGGCGGGCCGTTTCACTCAGGCCGGCGCTATGAGATTTCCGCTCCCAGTATCAAAAA